AGAGCGTTTTTACTAAACCCTATTACATGCCAACTAAAATATAACAAAGTTATACATATATGTCATACAATTATTGATGAGGCGACTCTGACTGGATGTTAAAGGATCTCCTTACTCAGTTGTATTCAACATATGCGTGAACTAAACACACGTTAAGTATTACTTAGTGTGGCATAGTTTAATCACAAGTAAAGCTCTAAACACAAGTAATTTATTATACTTCACGTTCCAAGGAATCTTTAAATTGAACAAGTAATTCTATAATTTGCATCACTCATGCTTTTAACCTCATTTATCAACCATTACCAGAATCTGTAATTTCAATAGTAAATTAATACGATTAGTATGATTTCCTTATCATTTTAGCACATGAAGTGCCCTATCTAGAAATTCATACACTTAGTATGATTTCCTTACCATTTTAGCACACAAAGTGCTCTATCTGGAAATTCATACACTTAGTATGATTTCCTTACCATTTTAGCAAAGGAAATGCCCTATCTGGAAATTTATACACTTAGTATGATTTCCTTACCATTTTAGCACACGAAGTGCCCTTTGGTAATTCACCATACATACATCAATAAATTATACTATTATAATTATTATAGTATATATGTACATAATTAAATGTACTCATGTGGTTCACATTTCTTAAATATTCAAACTGGGAAGATGATTACTCCAGAACTTGGCCCCTGCCTTTCGCCTTACTTGACTCGGGAGCTTGATTTTGATTTATCCCACATTCATTAAATACATACATAATATCAATTGTTAGTGTATTTTTCTAACAATTATAACTTAAACATTAATCAAAATACTTATTATTAACCTTTATACAACAATATCAACCCAACTTAAAATTTCTGGCCCTTTAGTATCGATACCCTTAATATGGTATTGATACTACCCTACTATGGTATCGATACCCCCTTTCGGTATCGATACCAAAATTAGCTTCGATGTATCTTGGTATCGATACCCTCACCATGGTATCAATACTACTATACTAGGGTACCGATACGCCCTTCCGGTATCGATACCAAAATTAGGTTCGATGTTACCTGGTATCGATACCCTCACCATGGCATCGATACTACCTCATCAGTATCGATACTTCTTGTATAATTCAGCCCAATTTTTGCCTATAGTATCGGTACTGTTCTTAGCAGTACCGATACCCTCGCCCATAATTTCCAGTTTTCAGCTCGAAAATTACCCAATTGGGGTCAAAGTTCTTTATATTTACCCCATTCAATACTATTAAACTCTTCCTTAACTATCTATACTAACATTTCTGTATTTTGCTTCCTAAAACATCTAACATCTTTAAAGAACATTCAATTCTAAGAATCAAACCACTTTTTCTAATATGTTCCTTAACCCATTTTATACTTCTAATCTCTCATTTACCTCTTTGGCAAGTCAAATCTAGCATTAAACCTCAATAAACACCAATATACCAACATATCATTTCAAAACCCAATTCCTAAAATCTCCCATATTTTCTCTATTTGATAGTTTTAATCTCACTTAATCCTTCCTTAAACTTCTAGTATACTCAATGCTTTAAAGCCCAACAAAAAACGAAGTAATAAACTAGTGAATGGAAAACTCACCTTTGAGCGATGGAGGAAGGTTATGCACGGGAAAGAAGAAGAAGGAAAAGAGTTGACCAAGCTTAAAACCCCTTTTCCCTTTTCTCTCTGCTTTAATATCCTAAGAGAAATGAATTTTAAATTCATTTACTCCAATTGACCAAAATGTCCTTTATAATCATCCATTACTACAATCTAGTTTTAAACTACACTTCCCAATTCATTCTCACCTTTTATCATTTAATCTCATAAATCCTTATATTTTTAAATCATTTCAATAGAGTCCCTAATTAGGTATTTAGGGCATTACATGTTAAGTATAAATTGTTGAATTTAATATATCTATTCTTTAATATAATTTTGAACTGTGCCGGGTTTATTTTGAAAGATGAATTCGATGTTATTGAAGTAAAGTGATAGATACTTATATTTTGAAATTATTATTAGTAATTGACATTATTATTACAAGTAAAAAAGATATAAAAAAATAACACACATTGTTCACAATCCAGAGCTAGTAGCAATCCTTCATTGCTAGCTATCAATCTTATTTAAATATTATATAGAAACAAAATAATAGTGCAAATTAGAATACAAATTTGTGACCATGAAGTGAATTATTTGAAAAAAAATGAATTCGGGCTGTGGCTCGACAGTGACTTTTGCTCTGATTTAAAATTTTCATTTTATACATGAAAAAAGAATGTTCTTTCACGAATAATTATTATTCTGTCGAGTTTGTCCTAGGTGGGCTTGAATTGTCATTTTAAATGTAAACATAAAATTTTGGAGGAATTTAGTGCAAATTGGAATATAAACTTGTTACCATGAAAATTAAGATTAAATTACAAATTGCAATGAATGTTAAGTATATATTCGTGGATTCAATATATCGATTCTTTAATATAATTTTGAATCGTGCCAAGTTTATTTTGATGGATGAACTTGATCTTATTGAAACCAAGAGATACATACTTATATTTTGAAATTATTAATTGAAGTAGAAAAGCCACACTAACGCTCATTGTTCATAAGCGAAAGCTAGTAGCAATCCTTTATTGCTGGCTGTCAAACTTATTTAATATTATATAGAAACAAAATACTAGTGCAAAGTGTAAATGACTACTATTTTATATTTTATTTGCTTTCGACGGACTCACCATCAAATCACACCACAAATTGCCTAGATATGAAAAGAGTAAATTTAAGCATACGCGATTTTGGCGGTTACGATTAGTGCACCACTAGGTGTACTGATTTGTGCCTTTGACGTATACATCATACCATCAGGAGTGGTCCATGAATAAGTGGCTTCATTGAATTCAAGATCGTTCCGGATATCTATCAATGTAACAACAACAATAGGAGGAAGGACTCGGATTGCGACCTAGTATTGATAAATGAGTTAATTATTATATATAGTATATAATAAAAAATAAAACAAGAAAATAAGATTTAGATTTAAGGTAATTGTTGACTAAATAACGACCCAGTTAATCAGTTCGTTACCATACGCAACCGATCTGGGCAAAGTGCTTGACATATTCTGTATGAATGAAACGGCTTTTGGACCATCTTTAATCTTTAACATAGCGTTATCATAAGTTGTTAAATCGAACGTTACGTCGTCGCCATTAAGATTTGTAAGTTTCACGGTTGCGGTTGTAGAAGCCATTTGTTGTTAGCTTAACTAAACTTATGTATTTGATTTGCTTGTGTTGTGCTATATAGCTGAATGCATACACATATTTATACAAAGTTTTGTAGCACAATAAGATAATATAAATAAATGATGTCAACTTTTAATAGCTTCATAATTAATTTTTTTTGAAGATTATTAAATCAAAATGATAAAGCTACTATCTATTCTTCTTCAGTTACCACTTCAAATGATCACGTGTTTTTTATGTATCAAATTTTTGTCTTTTTCAAGATTATTAATATTATTATATTTCATGCATTGTTGTATTATTGAGCTCAAGTACGTGCAGGGGGCTTGGGAGAGGTCAGGACTAAGTTTTTGGGAGGGAGAGATTTCCTTTTAGAATTCATGGATGAAGAGCTTTATACGTTCATGAAAGAGCATAATTGGTCGTTCTTACGGGAAGTTTTCCTGGAAGTTAATCCTTGGACAGAATCGTACAAAGCGTCTGAAAGGGTAACTTGGATTAAATTAATCGGTGTGCCATTACACTGTTGGAACCATAACACGTTCAAAAGGATAGTTGAGCAATGGGGAGAATGTTTGGCGATGGGAGAAAACGCTCTTCAGGAAGTGGGATGTGAGGAGATGACTATCTTGATAGCAACTAGAAGAAAGGATTTGATTGATGAGGTGGTTGATTTGGAGGCAGGAAGGGATGTTTTTAAAATTAGAATTGTGGAACAGACTACTAGTAGAAGTGATACGAGCAGTCATAAGAAAGAAGTAAAAGTTAATTTAGTCACCGATGATTCGAGTTCGTCGGCAGTTAGGAGTATGGAGCCATCGGAGGAGGAGAAGTCAGAGAGGAGGCATGTGGAAGATGATAGTCATTTAATGTGCATGGGGAACATTTCAAGAGGCGGCTGCATGTAGGGGATGGAAGACGTAGAGAGAAATATAGGGGAGGAAGCAATTGTGGGTTAGAGGGTCAATGATGTTTGTTCTGGGAAATCACAAAAGCAATATGAGGTGGAGGTGGAAAATGAGGTGGATGTGGCAAAAGATGATTGCATGTTACTATTTAAGGCGGTGGATGATAATGAAGGTATAAATGAGAATTTAAAGGATTTGTCTCTATGGGAAGGGAGGTTAGGTTCAAAGGTAGCGTAGGATACGGATTATATGGGCCTTACAAATTTCTTTTCTAAAAAAGGATCCAATGAGGATCAATTGGACGGGTGCTTGGTAGATCCGAAGGTAAGTAAGCCCAGTTTGGGACGGGAGGGGAAGAATGGGAAAAGGGGCTCTGCATGCAAACGATATCGAGCGATGATAATTTTATTCCCAAACCTAAGCAGAACGTTAGAGCAAAGGAGGGAAAATTAAGAAATACAATTCTATCCAAAAATGTCAAGAAAAATATGGTGTTACCTAGAGAAAGAATAGAAGTTGTCATGTGAAGAAAAACCATAAGAAGGAGCTAAGTGAGGAAGAGTTGACTGAACTTGAAGGAAGGTGCTTGTCCGATTCGGATCTCCAAGAACGTTGGTAGAGGCAAAAGCTGGAAGTGAGGAAAACTTTACAAATTGGTAGAGAGTTGGGTATTCAGTTTAAAGGCTCAGAGGAGGCGTTGGTTAAGGAAATTTCAGCTGTGGACGATCTTGAAGGAGAGCCCAATCCCTGTCCATTGAATTCTAGAAGGTATCAGAGGGGGAGATGCCAAGATACGGATTCTGTCTTGGAATATAAGAGGTATGGGTTCTAATGTGAAAATCTCAGAGCTTAGGAAGTTTATTCGGACTTATAGAATTGAAATGGTACTATTACAAGAGACTAAGAAGGAGGATTTTATGGATACTGAAATTAGTAGTTTTTGGTGTGATGATGACTTTGAATTTAGATTCTCGAAAGCAATGGGAAAATCTGGGGGTATTCTGTCTGTTTGGGATAAAAGTCGATTTAAGATCCTGGATAGCTTAATTACAGATAGATTTATTTTGATAGAAGGGAAGTACGCTTCACATGATTTAATATATTCTGTTATGAACGTTTATGCTCCTTGTGAAGTATCTGAACAAGTCATAGTATGGAGTACAATTATGGAAGTTAGGAGGAAAAATAAGAATAGATGGTTCATGGCAGGTGATTTCAATACAATAAGAAATAACAGTGAGAGAAGCGGGTGTTCTTACAGACAAATGGAGATTGTAGAGTTCAATTCGTTCATAGAGGCTTGTAATCTATTTGACATGCCTTTATCTGGGAGAAAATTTACGTGGTTTGGACCGGGAAATAGAAAGAGTCGTTTAGACATAATTTTCATTGAGGATGACTGGTTTAATGAAAATAGTGATGCAACTCTTTTTGGTTTATCGAGAACGGTATCGGATCATATCCCTATAATTTTGGGGAAATAAGTGGTGGATTGGGGGCCTAGACCGTTTAAACTGATTAATTGTTGGTTAAATCAGGAGAGTTATATTGAGATTATTAAGAAGGCATTGCAGCATGAAGAAGAAGGCGATGTAGATTTAAGCGTGAAATTAAGAAGAGTGAAAGGAGCACTTCAGAAATTGAATTTACAGATTTATTGGAATATTGATATTGAAGCTAAAAGAATGGAGAAGAGGATTAATGAGTTAGATATGAAAGGCGATGCTGATGGGCTAGATGATCGAGAAAGGGAGGAACTACTGAGTTGTAAAAGAAGGCTATGGGACATATTGAAGGAAAATGAGGATATATGGAGCCAGAAATCAAGATCGAACTGGCTCAAATTGGGAGGTGAAAACACTGCTTTTTTCCATAGAGCAGTTAAGATTCGTAGTAAAAAGCGTTTGATATTGGGAGCTAATTTGGGAGAGGTCGATGAATTTGAGCCGGACAAACTTAGAGCTAAGGTTTTTAATTTCTTTAGCAACCACTTCAGACGCAAGGAAAAGGAGTGAAAGACGGAGATCAATTTTTCGTTCAAACAACTATCAAGGGCGGATGTAGAAGGGCTGGAAGTGAATTTTTCTATTGAAGAAGTAAAGGATACAGTGTGGAGTTGTGGGGAGGACAAAGCTCCGGGTCTGGATGGATTCAATATAGTATTTTTTAAGAAATCATGGGAGTGGGTAAAAGTAGATATGATGAAGACCTGGACAGCTTCTATAGGAATGGAAAATTGGAAAAGAATGTCAATTCATCTTTTTTAGCATTGATTCCAAAGGTGGCCAATCCGACTGAAATTTTGGAATATAGACCGATCTCGTTGGTGAGCAGTTTGTACAAAATAATTGATAAAGTGTTAGCAAGGAGATTATGAGGTGTGATTGGAAAAGTGATTAGTGAGACTCAATGTGCATTTATAGCAGGTAGACCGATTTTTGATAGAATTTTAGTGGAAAATGAAGTTATTCATTCATTGAATATAGAGAAGGGAGGGAGAGGTGGATTGATATTAAAACTAGATTTTGCAAAGGCATATGATTGTGTTTATTGGGAGTTTTTAGACTCTGTGCAACATAATATGGGTTTTGGAAGCACATGGAGACGTTGGATTTGGGAATGTATTTCGACAGTTAGAGTTTCTATTCTTTTAAACGGGTCTCCTACAAAAGAATTTAAAATGTACAGAGGTTTACAACAGGGAGATCCATTGTCCCCTTTTTTGTTTATAATGATAACTGAGGCTCTTCATCTTTTGCTAGAAGGAGAGCTGTTCACAAAGGATACATTGATGGTATTGAAAATGTGGCACCAAATATAAGTATTTCACATTTGTAAATTAGGCTCTTCATCCTAAGTGTGGTTCATGAATTAATAATTCTCGACAGGAGATTTGTGGATTGTAGAACCTGTTTAGTTGGCAAGGAAACTCATATACAAGATAAAACTCATTAAAAGTACTTTTAAAAGTATGGGTAGAAATATCAAAAATATCCGAGTTATCGTGATATACATCTTTTATATGTTCAATTCTTGGAATAGTAGTATGCTTAAGAGTATACCTTCGTGGTAGTGCTTCGTCTAATGTGTTTTGCTTACCTCGGTCAGCTACACACTTAAAGGAGTTGTGTTTAGTATGGATGACAACTTCACGAGCCTTACCCTGTATGAAGGAGAAGAAGTATGTTACAATGTCATTAAAATTAGTAATAAAATACTTACCTTTGGACTCCCATAAATCGTGACTCTTCATTGATATGGCATAGTGATTAGGGCTTTCAGGTTGTAACCCGTCAGGAGAGTCACCTAATATTATTTGACAACTCTTGGCTATGGAAGATGGTGTGGGCCAGTCTCGTGTTGCTTTTACTATTTCATTATTTACATGGATTTCCTATGCACAAACTATAAAGCCTGTAGAGTTGTTTAAATCATGTTTCGTCATTAAGATGGCGTCATGACTAAGGCTTTCCTGGATGTAGCCTTTTTGTAACAAATCCAACTATTTGGTTTCTTCGAGATTATATGTTTGACGAGGTATGAAGGAACCTTGAATTAGATTGGTTTGGCATTTGTTTCCTCTTTTCAGTGGTAGTTCGTTAGGTAGATCACCTAACACTTCTCAAAAATCCTGTAAAATAGATGAAAACACACTAGGCAAATCCTTGTTAATGTTAGAAATCGAAACAATTGATTCCCTAAAGTGAACAAGGATGCAAGGTTATTTGTAAAGAAGGTTCTCTCTCAATTCTTTTGTGCTCACACATAGATTTTGAGTCACTCTTTTCTTCTCACATTTAGGTTCACTCACCTCCCATGGGTCATTATTCTTTTAGCTTTTATAACTAGCGACCTCTTTTGCTTTTGCCTCTTTCTCAACTTTTTCTTTTTTTGCTTTCCGTACCTCCTCACAAATTATCATTTGATCTTTAGGGACTGGAAGTGTGTCATTCTTTGCTGGTCGTTCTTTCTTCTTGTCATGTTTGTCATCTCTTGGCTTTTTTAGAGAAGATGGAGTAGAAGATGAGGAAGGATTACCTTGGTAATAGGATGAAGTACCTTGGTAATGTTCACTGAATCGAGATCTCCTTTGGATTTGTGCTTCGATTGTCATTGCTTTCTTTAGTGCGTCTTCAAGGTTTTCGTACCCTTGTAGATCAAGAAGATCAATGATCTTTGAGTTTAAGCCGACGATGAATCTTTACACGGTGACCTCTTCTTTTTCAGTTATGTTAGCCCTATTGAGTAAGGACTGCATCTCCTTATAGTACTCTTCAACTGAACTTCTACCTTGTTGAAGTTGGTCTAGTCGTAGTTTAACTTCTCGTGCATAATGTTCGGTAGGAATCGCTTCCTCATGGTTTGTTTGAGGTCAGTCCAAGAACTGATTGTTGGAATTTGGAAGTTCTGGATCTTTTTCCTTATTTTCATCCACCAAGTTCGAGCATATCCTTCGAATTGTGTGGTGATGAGGTGAACTTGTTTAGCTTGGGGGCAGTCATGGTATGCGAACATAAGATCAACTTTTCCTTCCCATTCGATGTACCTGTCTGGATCATTATCTCCTTTGAAAGACATGATCGTGAACTTTTGTTTTGCAAATAGTTTGGGTGCTTGAAAATGTGGTTGTTCTCGCTCGGGTACCAAAAGTTCAACATTGTTTGGTCTTGGATTCTGGTTTGGTAGATTCAGTAGTGGTTTTTGTCGTTCTCTAACTATTTCATCAAATCTTTCAACTTGAGTCGTGAGTCGGGTAAGTGTGGCTAAGATAGTCGTAAGTGTCTTGTTGTTATTGTCGCCCATCCTAAAATCATAACACTCAAAAGAAAATTTTATAGTAAAATAAAAATAAAAGGAAGAAAATTCAACAAAGCAAGAAACCTCACAAGTCACTCCAAGAAAGTAACACAACGAGAGGCAAGTAAGTCGATCTTGTACTCTTTAAAACTCACTTTACCAAGTAGTCTTCCACAATTCGTATCGGAGTTTGATTACTAGCAAAGGCGATAAGAAAAAACTTAAAAGTTCTAAAAGGCCAAACAAGGGTTAGACTCCAAGAGAACGAGAATGCAAAGAAGGAAGAAGTATGCAAACTCTTTAGTCTTACTAACACAAGAAAGATAATGTGTTAGATAATGCACAAGAAAAATAAAAAGAAAAAACAAAAGAACTTAAAGCACTAAGAATCAAAGAAAAAAAAAGAACCAACCCAGAAACCTGGAAAACGGTGGATCCACTTGAGCAACGTTTTTGAGGGGGTTACCGATGTCCAAAAATTTTGGGAAAATTCTTGAATGTCTTTCGATGCGTCAAGAAACCACCTGTAAAATTTCAGAACCAAATATTTTCAGTAGTATCCAGTGAACTCTGTTGAACGGTGAGTCCTCAAACAATCTATTTTTCTTGATCACTTTGTTCGAAGATGTTCTTGATCTCTAAATATTCTGATTTTTTTGTAAATGATCTTAAATATATGAAGTTGCAATATGGAAATTTTCACCACGGAATTCCTCCTGTAGAATTTTCGAGAAATTCGACAAGATCCTAGACCGAATCTGCCGATGAAACTTGAAGAATGTATTTGAAGATACTAATGAACTCCTATTTGGGTGAAATTAGGATTGGAGATTTATATTAGGATAAATATGATATCTGGAGAAAATCAGCCCTAAATACCTTCGTTTGCAATTTTTTTGAAATTTTGGGTTTTTTATTTTTTTTATTTTTTTGTTTTTGCCTTTTTTTTTTGTTTTTGTTTTTTTGTTTTTTTTAAAAATAGCAAACTAACTAGAATGATTTGAATCTAAATTAAAATTAAATAAAAAGAACCTGAAACGATGAATCTTTTCTGGACTAGCTCTGTTGGGATACCTTGACGGTTTTGTGTGCAAGAACAAGCAAGATTGCTTGCTTCTTTCCAAGAATCGGCCCAAATCTGATACCAATTGATAGGGAAGCGGTGGCGGATTGATGACCATTGCTCTTGTTGAAGAATCAAACATAGAAAATATCTATACTCGATGAAGAACAATAAGGGATGAATGGGGAAGGTGGCGGTAATAAATAGGGTTCCTTAGGGTTTCTTTTTGGTGCTGGAAACAAGATAAGAAATAAGATTAAAAAAAGATAAAGAAAAGATTAAGGAATTGCAAATAAAATAAGATAACCAAGAAATCAAAAGATCTCCCTTGTGAAGGTGAACGATAAAGATGATTGATGACGTGGATAGATATATGGAAAATCGATGGATAATGTCCTATCAAGCCCTCCTAGTCGCAATGAAAAGGAAAACACGATAATATGGCTCTAACCAACCCTCCTAGTCGCGATGAAAAGGCAAATTGGAGTGTGAAGATAAATCTCCCTCACAAGAACTTGAAAGAACTCAAGGAGAATAAGCTTCGAAGGCACAAGACAATCAGCACTTGCAAAAACGAACTCTCGTTGTATTATTAATCAAAGAAATCTTGAATTACAAAGTTTAATGAAGCCTCCTTTATATAGGGTTGAGTTCTAAAGGTCCTAAATAACTAATGAATAAAATAATAATAATTAAACATATCTCAACTCTAATTCCTAATAAAATAATAATAACTAAAGATAATATTTTTAACCCAACCTTAATTCTTAATAAAATAATAAATCTAATCCTAAAAGATAATGCATCATCCTATATTAAGTTATATTACAAATAATCAATAAAAAAATTGAAAATTCGTAATATTTACAAAATCCCGTATTAATCCCGTATAGGATTTTCTGCATGTACCATCTTCAGTAAAATAGCCATATCTTGAGTTCCCAATATCGAATTGATGCGATTCAAGAACCGTTGGAAAGATAAGAGACAGACAGTCATATCTCCAGAAGACATCTTGACTAAATAAGATCAGGATCCCATTAAAAAAGTCGTCGTAAGTCTGCTTCTGTTCTGATATTCTTTTCCAATGCTTGGACGAGTGGATCATTTGGAAGAGTTATTACTTCTTCCTTTTATGTGGGCCTTGTGATGCAT